TTCAAGAGAAAACTGGACGGTTTTCTAAGAGAAGTTCTGGATCAGCCGGGCTGTGGTGGGTATGTGGGCCTGCGGGCCGCTCCAAGCAACAGCCTGGTGGACCAAACTCTCACAAGTCGAGCCTGACCGCCTTACCTTGAGGTTACCTTGAGGTGCTTCCGGGCCTTAGTGTCCCCGCGGCCCGGTCGTCGACCAGGCCTCGACCTCGGGCCGGGCTTGGGGAGTAGAAGAACCCCCAGAACCCCATCAAGCAGGTATCAAGCAGGAGGGTGCATCAATAGAGAATAGAACTCGAGTCTGTGTTCTATCCATTAACACGTGTGTCTTTACACGATAGCTCCACGGTGAGCTATCCGCGTATTTTTCCATAGCGTAGGTACTGCAACTTGTCTTCATGAAGCATCTTATTTTCAATGGCCCATATGTCGCTCACTTGATGCCTGAAATGTAAGTTTGATATAGATTGTAATACACTTCTCTGGAGAACTCCAGAACCCTCTTCAGGTAAGATCCAGGTAAGACCTGAAGGTAACTTAAAGGTCGGTAAATTAGCTTATCCATGTATTATATTAGATAACCAAGTTAAATATTACTATGGCGGTGTTAGGGTTATCGTGAGGTTGTTATGTTGGCTAAGTGAGCCAACCAATATTGGTTATAGTCCCTAAAATCCACCAGACCAACCCAGAGAGTGATGGTGAATGGTGAGTAATGGTGGTGCGGGGTAGTTAGCGAGTGTGGGAGGGTTAATCTTTGTGAACGATTGTTAATCTCGCCACAAGTTGTCTGGGCCTCGCTTCCTCTGAATCAAAACAAATGAGTGAGCTTCATTCATGTGGGAGATTGTGTGTCTGCGGTCGGCATCAGAGCACAATGAACCAGCCCTTGGGGATGATATTTCAGTCTGGGAGAGGAGGCATGGGGGTGACGGTGCAGGGGGGGGGAGCTGGATGTGGTGCAGGGGGGTACTGGTTGTGGTGCAGGGGGCTACTGGTTGTGGTGCAGGGGGCTACTGGTTGTGGTGCAGGGGGCTACTGGTTGTGGTGCAGGGGGGCTACTGGTTGTGGTGCAGGGGGGCTACTGGTTGTGGTGCAGGGGGGGGGCTACTGGTTGTGGTGCAGGGGGGTACTGGTTGTGGTGCGTGGGGGGGGGGGGTACTACAGAGAACATATACGGCACGCATAGAAACGATAAAACATCTAAATTATTGGGACCGTCTCAAAGCTTTCAAAATGTACTCTTTGGAAAGGAGACGAGATATCAACTAATATATACATGAAAGATACTGGATGGCCAGGCCCCAATTTGCACAGTAGAATAACAACATACTGGAGCGAAAGATACGGAAGGAAATGCAGAATAGAACCAGTGAGGAGTAGAGGTGCCATAGACACCATTAGAGTTCACTGTATGAACATCAGAGGTCCACAGCTGTTCAACACCTCCCTGCAAGCATTAGAAATATTACTGGAACAAAGGTGGATATAAGGCACTTAGATAAGGTCTTGCAAGAAGTGCCGGATCAACCAGGCTGTAGTGGATATGTGGGCCTTCGGGCCACTCCAATCAACAGCCTGTTGGACCAAGTTATTACAAGTCAAGCCTGGCCTCAGGCCGGGCTCGGGGAGTAGAACAACTCGCAGAACCCTCTCCAGGTATGGTCGGAGACCGGGCCTCGGGGCTATTGATCCCGGGAAGCTACAGAAGGTAGTCACAAGGTAAGGTAAAGTAGACGTGACTCTGTTTTGTGATCTTTAATTCCCTTGCACACTTTAAAGGATTTTTACGATTGTGATGTTAGTTACATCGAAGTATAATTTTTTGTTTACTTCTGTTTTATTTCCTTCGTGGAGGGGCGCGAACTCCGGTGCTGTAAGTGTGTCGGGGATAACATAAGTATCTAGGCTACACTTCCACATGATGCTCAGGGCTTGCGTTAGTGGTTTTGAATCATTTTCGATAAATATGGAGATCCAGGAGCCTTTGCCTAGGGCTGAGTGTATGGACATGCATGCTGCCTATGGCTCCTTTAAAGTCCTTACCTACCTTACCTTGAGGTGCTTCCGAAGCTTAGCGTCCCCGCGGCTCGGTCGTCGACCAGGCCTCCTGGTTGCTGGACTGGTCAACCTGGCTGTTGGACGCGGCTGCTCGCAGCCTGACGTACGAATCACAGCCAGTCATGTTAGGGTCGCCGCTGGGATGTCCGTCGAAGTTGGGGGTCATGTTCATCACATTTAGGTTGTCAATCTAGTGTGTTTATGGGTTCATCATAATAGGCCAAGGGGCCTGACAGCCAAGTGGGCAGTGCTCGAGATTCGTAGTTCTAAGTTTCCGGGTTCGATCCCCAGTAGAGGTGGAAACAAGTGGACAGAGTTTCTTTTACCCTGATGCAGTAAATCATTCCTGCCTGCAGTTCATCTAGCAGTAAATAGGTACCTGGGAGTTAGACAGCTGCTACGGGCTGCTTCCTGGGGGTGTGTAACGAAAAGGAGGCCTGGTCGAGGACCGGGCCGCGGGGACGCTAAGCCTCCTTACCTACCTTGAGGCTACCTTGAGGTGCTTCCGGGGCTTAGTGTCCCCGCGGCCCGGTCGTCGACCAGGCCTCCTGGTTGCTGGACTGATCAACCAGGCTGTTAGACGTGGCTGCTCGCAGCCTGACGTATGAGTCACAGCCTGGTTGATCAGGTATCCTTTGGAGGTGCTTATCCAGTTCTCTCTTGAACACTGTGAGGGGTTTGCCAGTTATGCCCCTTATGTGTAGTGGAAGCGTGTTGAACAGTCTCGGGCCTCTGATGTTGATAGAGTTCTCTCTCAGAGTACCTGTTGCACCTCTGCTTTTCAACGGGGGTATTCTGCACATCCTGCCATGTCTTCTGGTCTCATGTGGTGTTATTTCTGTGTGCAGGTTTGGGACCAGCCCCTCAATTATTTTCCACGTGTAAATTATTATGTATCTCTCCCGCCTGCGCTCAAGGGAGTACAGATTTAGGCTCTTTAGTCGGTCCCAGTAATTTAGATGTTTTACTGAGTGGATTCTAGCAGTAAAGGATCTCTGCACGCTCTCTAGGTCAGCAATTTCTCCAGCTTTGAAAGGGGCTGTCATTGTGCAGCAGTACTCCACTCTAGAGAGCACAAGCGTTTTGAAAAGTATCATCATCGGTATAGCATCTCTAGTGTGAAAAGTTCTTGTTATCCAACCTGTCATTTTTCTTGCAGTTGTGACGGCTACTTTATTATGTTCTTTAAAGGTAAGGTCTTCCGACATGAGTACACCCAGGTCCTTTACATTGCCTTTTCGTTCTATGTTATGATTTGCCTGCGTTTTGTACGTGGTTTCTGTTTTTATATTTTCAATTTTTCCGTGGCGCATGAGCTGAAACTTATCCTCGTTGAATACCATATTATTTTCTGTAGCCCATAGAAAGACCTGATCTACATCTGATTGGTGGTTTGCCGTGTCCTCTATGTTGCCAACTCATGAAAATCCTAGTGTCATCTGCAAAGGATGATACAGTGCTATAGGTTGTGTTCTGGTCTATGTCCGATATGAGGATGAGAAAAAGTACTGGAGCAAGCACAGTACCCTGGGGGACTGAGCTCTTCACGGTTGATGGGCTGGATTTTATTTTGTTGACTATTACACATTGGGTTCTGTCAGTCAGGAAATTGTAGATCCATCTGCCTATTTTCCCGGTAATTCCTTTTGAACGCATTTTATGTGCAATAACACCATGGTCACATTTATCAAAAGCTTTTGCGAAATCTGTGTAAATTACATCAGCGTTTTGTTTGTCTTCCATAGCATCTAATGCCATATCATAGTGGTCCAGCAACTGTGACAGGCAAGAGTGCCCTGTTCTGAAACCATGTTGTCCGGGGTTATGGAGATGCTGTGATTCCATGTATTTTGTGATCTTACTTCTTAGCACTCTCTCAAAAATTTTTATGATGTGCGATGTTAGTGCTATCGGTCTGTAATTTTTTGCCTCTGCCTTATTTCCTCCTTTATGGAGTGGTGCTATCTCTGCTGTTTTTAGTATGTCAGGGATAACGCCAGTATCTAGGCTTTGTCTCCACAGAATGTGAAGGGCCTGCGATAGTGGTTTTTTACAGTTCTTGATGAATATGGAGTTCCAAGAATCCGGGCCTGGTGCAGAGTGCATAGGCATACTGTTTATGGCTTCTTCAAAATCTAGTGGGGATAGGGCGACGTCTGATATATGATTTGATGTTGGTATCATATCCATGAAAAATTCATTTGGGTTATCAATCTTTAGTGCATTTAATGGCTCACTGAAAACAGAGTCGTACTGCTTCCTCAGTAACTCGCTCATTTCTTTGTTGTCATCTGTGAAAGTTCCATCTCCCTTTCGCAGGGGCCCGATACTAGATGTGGTTTTCGATCTTGATTTTGCATAGGAGAAAAAATATTTCGGATTTCTCTCTATTTCACTGATGGCCTTTTGCTCTCTTTGCCTCTCCTGGGTTTTGTATGATTCTTGTAGCTTGAGTTCAATTGTTTCTATTTCTCTACCTAACCTGGCTACTTCCTGGTATTCTTTCTGATATTACTGTATTAGCCAGGTGCTTCCATTTCAGGTGCCGTAGGTTGAAGTCCCCAAGCAGGATGATGTTCGGAGCTGGATTTGTGAGGTTTTCCAAGCAGTGCTCTATTTTCATTAGTTGGTCTTTAAACTGCTGAGGGTTTGCCTCCGGTGACTTATATACAAGGACAACAACTACATTTAGGATCTCTATTTTGACTATCAGCACTTCCACCATATCATTTGAGGTGTTTAGCAGCTCAGTACAGATGAGTGTGTCTTTGATGTAGAGGCTGATGCCTCGAAATCATCTCAAGATAACCTCACAGAAAAAATAATCGTACTGTGTTGTACCAGCAGCATGGGAGGGCACGGTTACTGGGAGTGCCTGGGAGTGGACACAGAAGCATGGGTGGACCAGGTGACACAGGAGTGCCTGGGAGTGGACACGGCAGCATGGGTGGACCAGGTGACACAGGAGTGCCTGGGAGTGGACACAGCAGCATGGGTGGACCAGGTGACACAGGAGTGCCTGGGAGTGGACACAGCAGCATGGCTGGACCAGGTGACACAGGAGTGCCTGGGAGTGGACACAGCAGCATGGGTGGACCAGGTGACACAGGAGTGCCTGGGAGTGGACACAGCAGCATGGCTGGACCAGGTGACACAGGAGTGCCTGGGAGTGGACACAGCAGCATGGGTGGACCAGGTGACACAGGAGTGCCTGGGAGTGGACACAGCAACATGGGTGGACCAGGTGACACAGGAGTGCCTGGGAGTGGACACAGCAACATGGGTGGACCAGGTGACACAGGAGTGCCTGGGAGTGGACACAGCAGCATGGGTGAACCAGGTGACACAGGAGTGCCTGGGAGTGGACACGGCAGCATGGGTGGACCAGGTGACACAGGAGTGCCTGGGAGTGGACACAGCAGCATGGGTGAACCAGGTGACACAGGAGTGCCTGGGAGTGGACACAGCAGCATGGGTGGACCAGGTGACACAGGAGTGCCTGGGAGTGGACACGGCAGCATGGGTGGACCAGGTGACACAGGAGTGCCTGGGAGTGGACACGGCAGCATGGGTGGACCAGGTGACACAGGAGTGCCTGGGAGTGGACACAGCAGCATGGGTGGACCAGGTGACACAGGAGTGCCTGGGAGTGGACACAGCAACATGGGTGGACCAGGTGACACAGGAGTGCCTGGGAGTGGACACAGCAGCATGGGTGGACCAGGTGACACAGGAGTGCCTGGGAGTGGACACAGCAGCATGGCTGGACCAGGTGACACAGGAGTGCCTGGGAGTGGACACAGCAGCATGGCTGGACCAGGTGACACAGGAGTGCCTGGGAGTGGACACAGCAGCATGGGTGGACCAGTGGCCGGAAGTAACACATTGTGTACAGCACGACAATGCACTCACCAACACACTATATAATTTTAGTCCATACTGCAGAATTCTGTGTCGACATATATCCTCTCGTGCTTTACAAGCTCGCCGGCAGCTTGTCTCTCCTGCCTTTGTGTTGACTGCTAATATTATCCTGAGTCACCCCTGAGCTTGTAGTTAACGGGACACCGGCGCTCGTGTGGGTTCCAATTCCTTGTTGAGTTAATTGGTTCTCAGATAGGTTACCTTGAGATGAGATGATTGAGTCTTCAGGTACTCAAGATTGAGTCTTCAGGTACTCAAGATTGAGTCTTCAGGTACTCATCATGAGATGATAGGTACAGAATAATGTTCAATGGATGATGAGTTATTTTTGTCCGGTACCTGATCAACCAGGCTGAGAGTCGTAAGTCAGGCTACGAGCAGCTGCGTCTAACAGCCTGGTTGACCAGACGACCAATCAGGAGGTCTGGTCCGAGACCGGGCCGCGGGGACGGTGGTCACCGGAACCAACATGAGGTAAACAAGAAGGTAAGGTAGACGTTAAAAGACAGAACGTGGATACTTGATATTGATGGCAAGATATGCATGCAAACTCATGCCCAAGTTTCTTGTTTAGAACTCCTAGAATCCTTTGTAATTACGGCAGTGTTAAAAGCCGTATAGTTAAGCTAGTCATCCAAAAAGTGTTAAGGCGGGTTACCTTAGAGAGGCGTGAGAATCGTTCGCTTGTCACTGTCTCAGTTTTGCTTATGAGGCTTCGTGATAAATTGGTAAGTTGTCAGATGGTAGTATCTGTGAACCCCTTTCCCACAAATTAAACTTTCGTCCCGTCTGGGAACCATTTACATGGTAGGAATATATCTGCAAATTTGATGATAACTGACTGGCCCTTCCTGCCCCTGTGCAGATGAGGAGTATGGCCAGTAATCCGGTTCAGTTCATTTGGACGCCCCTCTCGCTGGTGCTTCACCCGCTGAGGGAACCCACACCTCGTCAAAGGTGATGCATGTCAGCTGGGTGTCGTTGCTTTTACGCCCAAGATAATCTCTGTGGGCTGTTGGCCACCTACAAATTGGTGAAATGGCACTCAGAGGTAGTCAGGAAAAGAGAATTTCTGGCAGTAATATCGCCAGACTATTCCTCGTCACTCGTCATGAGTGAGGAATAGTTGGCAAATGTGACTCAGTACGCTTTGAACAGATACTTGGTCGCATTTGCCAACAGTCCATTATTAAATATCTACCCATTAGACCCTTTGTATCTAATGGGTAGGTCCCTAAGGCCGTTCGCCGGTATGAGATACCTGGAGGTTGGCACTCATGCCATCTTGTGGTGATCGTTGTAATCCTCCCCAAAGTTTGACAGGGCTGGCACATTACATGATCCTTTACGTAAAACTATCCCGCAGGATGGTAATCTCAGTTTGATACAGGCGATGTAACGCTTAATGTAGTCTAGGCTTCCCGAGCAACTGCATAAAATTAACAATGTACCTCTCATACCTTGCGTTGGCTCCGAGGATCAACTTCCCTGCGGGCAGGCCTCCTGGTTGGTGGTCTGGACAACCAGGCTGTTAGAAGCAGCTGCTTGCAACCTGACGTTATGAATCATTGCCTGGTTGATTAGATATCCTTTGGAAGTGTCAAGTTCTCTCTTGAATACTGTGAGGGGTCGGCCAGTTACGTCCCTTATGTGTAGTAGAAGCGTGTTGAACAGTCTCGGGCCTCTGATGTTGATAGTTCTCTCTCAGAGTACCTGTTGCACCTCTGCTTTTCAACGGGGGTATTCTGCACATCCTGCCATGCCTTCTGGTCAAATGTGACATGCATATTTGAAAATCCTCCATGTTTACTATCTCTATCGCCTTTATACCATGGAACCATTGGACTACTGCCCCTTATCTACCTTGGAACCCTTAATATACAATCTCCACTATGTAACAATTATCCTCTTATAACCATGGAATTATTATTAATCCTCCCTCCACGACTCCGTCATCACGACAGTCTAGGATACTTCACTACACAACCTGACATATTCGACAATGAATTCTAACGTGAGGATAGTCGACCTATAAAGCATCAGGTGAAACATGGCTAGTAGGCCGGGGGGGATAGAATGATGGCCCTCAATTTCCAATAGTAGCTGTTAAATCTGATCAACCAGGCTGTGATTCATACAAGAAATTGTGATTGACGAGACCTTCAACCAGGAGGCTTGGTCAGAGACCGGGCCGCGGGGACCTTTACCCCCGGAATCACCGCAAGGAAACCGTTTGGTAAGGTATGCATCAGTAGGCAAGTGCCGGTGGGTAAGCACCACCACCACAGCACCACCAGCACCCACCACCACCCACTACCACCACAGCACCACCACCACCCACCACCACCCACCACCACCCACCACCACCCACCACCACCCACTACCACCCACTACCACCACAGCACCACCAGCACCCACCACCACCCACTACCACCACAGCACCACCAGCACCCACCACCACCCACTACCACCACAGCACCCACCACCACCCACTACCACCACAGCACCACCAGCACCCACCACCACCCACTACCACCACAGCACCCACCACCACCCACTACCACCACAGCACCCACCACCACCCACTACCACCACAGCACCCACCACCACCTACTACCACCACAGCACCACCAGCACCCACCACAGCACCAACCACAGCACCAACCACAGCACCACCACCACGCACCATCAAATATAATAACCTTCATGCATAGATTGTTGACATGTCAGGAGTTTGTGTTGACCAGTAAAATATAAGGAGGGCAGCGTCGTAGGTTGCTGGAGCATGGAGTGCTGTGGGGTCGAACCCGCATCAATGGCCCCGCCTCACCAGGCGAGAGGATACCGTATCTTACACGCTCCAAGCTCCAACAGCCTGGCAAATCACACGGCAGTGAAGATAGCATGGTTGATAATGGAGATAACTAGACAGGGCCAGCGCCTCTGAGCTGGGGCGTTTGATGGAGCGGTCGCCATGATCGTTACCACCACCACCACCACCACTGCTGGTGCTGCTGTCGCTCCTCCTCCAGCCCCTGCTGCTGCCGCTCCTCTTCCAGCTCTTCCCCCCAGCTGTCCCTGCTGCCGCTCCTCCTCCAGCCCCCCCCCCTTCTGCTGCTGCTCCTCGTCCTGCTGCTGCTCCTCATCCTGCTGCTGCTCCTCATCCTGCTGCTGCTCCTCGTCCTGCTGCTGCTCCTCATCCTGCTGATGCTCCTCGTCCTGCTGCTGCTCCTCGTCCTGCTGCTGCTCCTCGTCCTGCTGCTGCTCCTCATCCTGCTGCTCCTCCCGCCCCTGCTGCCGCTCCTCCTCCCCCTCATCATCATCACCATCATCATCATCTCCATACATCATCACACGCCGCACAACAATCACATTACCGAGGAAATTTTGAGTCAACAGAGAGATGGTGGTTGACGCACTCACATTTCTACCCCGGGGGACGACAGTAACACCCTACCTTGACGTGCTTACCTTCAAGCTACCTTGAGGTTACCTCGAGTGAGGGGGTGGTAACCTTATCTTACCATGAGGGGGGGGATTACGTTACTTTGAGCTGCTTATCAGGTTCTCTCGTGAACACTGCGAAGGGTCGGCCGGTTCAACAAGCATCAGCCTGTTGGACCAAGCTCTCTCAAGTCAAATCTGGCCTCAGGTCCGGCTTGGGGAGTAAAAATTGAAATTGAAATAAGTTTATTGAGGTAAAATACACACAAAGGGATGAGGTAGCTCAAGCTATTCTCACCCCGTTCAGTACATCGTGTTAATACATACATAGACACACATCACAAACAATAAACATATTACCAAACATTCTGAGAGATAAACATATACATTTCCTTGGGGAGTAGAAAAACTACCACAACATCCCCACTCCCGCTCATACCGCCCCCCCCCCACTCCCACACATCCCCCCACTCCCCACACATCCCCCCCCCACTCCCCACACATCCCCCCAACCCCAACACATCCCCCCCCCACAAGACCTCTAAACTCTAAGAGAGTGAAGAATTGCTGGGAAACATGTGAGAAGCTGTGACTTTAAGATGAAAGTGGTGAGCAGAGTGGAAATGTTTGGTGATGAATGGAGTCATAAAGGTGGGAAATGCATTTACAATATTGAGGGGGGGGGGACCGAGACTCATGGTAATGAGGCATCACCGATTGTGAGGGGACGGAGAACTTTGGCCGGGGGGGGGGAGGTTGATATCTTACGAGGAATAAAGGAATAGATGACATCATGAGAAAAATATTGGTTTGGGGGTGAACTACTTCATCGCTCAACGATAACGATAGAACCGTTACCTGCTTGATGGGGTTCTGGGAGTTCTTTTACTCCTCAAGCCCGGCCCGAGGCCAGGCTCGACTTGTGAGTTTGGTCCACCAGGCTGTTGCTTGGAGCAGCCCGCATGCTGACACGGAAAGCCTCAGCTGTGTGTAAGGTTGTCTTCCCGTCGACAACAGTGGGGGTTACCTTACCTTACCTTGCGGTTACCTTGTGTTGATTCCGGGGATGAAGGTCCCTGCGGCCCGGTCTCTGACCAGGCCTCCTGGTTGATTGTCTGTTCAACCAGGCTGTTGGACGCAGCTGCTCGCAGCGTGACGTATGAGTCACAGCCTGGTTGATCAGAAATCCTTTGGAGGTGTTCATCAAGTTCTCTCTTGAACACTGTGAGGGGTCGGCCAGTTATGTCCTTTGTGTAGTGGAAGCGTTGTTGAACAGTCTCGGGCCTCTGATGTTGATAGTTCTCTCTTGAACACTGTGAGGGGTCGGCCAGTTATGTCCCTTATGTGTAGTGGAAGCGTGTTGAACAGTCTCGGGCCTCTGATGTTGATAGAGTTCTCTCTCAGAGTACCTGTTGCACCTCTGCTCTTCAACGGGGGTATTCTGCACATCCTGCCATGCCTCCTGGTCTCATGTGGTGTTATTTCTGTGTGCAGGTTTGAGACCAGCCCCTCTACTATTTTACACGTGTAAATTATTATGTATCTCCCCCGCCTGCGCT